TTGGTCTCTCCTCTCAGAAAGAGAGGCGAAAAAGTTACGTCACCCTTGTGACGTTTTATAGCGACTGAATTACGGAGAAGAAAATATAAATCTCCGACATGTTCAACATTCGCCATTAATGCATGGTGAATGTCGACATTTACCGGTGTAAGTCAGAAATAAGGGTATTTAGCAAATATTTCGGACATACACCAAGCGACTATGTGAATGTTGACATTCACCAGATTTCGGTCTTTCTACATGGCATACATGACAGTTTCGTTAACCTTCGTCAACGATGGTTTCACAGGAATCTTATGTACTTACTTTTATAACGAACGAGTTAATATATGTTCATCTTTTGGAATTAGTATTACGAATACTGTACCTACACATGTATATCCTATACACATCCTTGATAAATCTTTAACACAGAAAAGTTAAACTTAGAAGAACTCGTTCGACAAATTGCAAACGTGCACGTGTACGAAAATCAGCGAACGCTAGAACGTTGCTATTCAGTTCCAGCAGAGTGCAGAAGAAACGCTACGATCGTCACAATGGTGTTAATCTATTTATCTGACTAACAACAAACTTATCTCGTGACTCACACGCCGATTCGCGCGGTTCACCAGGGCTCGATCGTTTTCCGCGCGCATATACAACTTTTAAAGTACACGTACGACGGGCTCGATTTTTATTGCCGGATTAACGTATGACAATTTTATCGGTGTTCTTTTTGCGTCAAAGCTTCGCTCCTTTCAAAACTGCGTGTTACGCGGGTGGAACTTTGTTTTCATTTATTGTAGAGTTTGGAAAAGGTGGCGAAAAAGAATATCGATCAATCTTTTTCTACGTCTTAAAAGATCGCTTATCGGGAAGCACCATTGCACGATTTAATGACTAACGACTGAAAAGAATGTTATCTGTATTGTGTCTCAGTTTTTCGATTCAACCATTTCATAAATAATTTCCCTTTCTTTGTTCTTTGTCACCTGTTGCTTGCGGAAGGTGTTTACCAATTTCTGTTCAGAGCAAACCATAGTTCTGTTCACAGCGGTGAGATGTTCCAATTTCCTTCCGATTACTTTTTTACATTCGGTTGCAAGTGCTAGCAAACCAAATACGTAACGTAAGTTTCCGTAAATACAGAGGCAATAGCGGCTAACGATTTCGTATTAATTCGAACTCCGCTTTATCGTCTGGAGATAAAGAAATTCTCCAAACGTTATCGAGTTCTAAATCAACGAAAGGCGAGGAAAACAGGAAGTCGAAGGTGCGAAGAAACGGAATGGCATAATTTTTTTTTCTATCAAAATATATTTGTGCATAGACAAGAAGACAACCGTGACAGGTAATCTCGTACCTAACATACATCAGTCATACGCCAAGGAACGCGTGCACACGCACATACACGCCGATGTGCGGACATGCGTGCTGCGGACATACACACGCAGGTGATGGACGCGTACATACGTTGATTCGAGTTGTGCATCACCGAGAGACCCGATAGTAAACGTCTTAAAAGAAGAAAGAAAGAAAAGAAATAAAATAATAGAAGAAAGGTATTAAAACTTGTCGCACAAGTACGTATGATAAAAGGTAATAACAAATATTATTCTCTCGCACGCGATTGAATCTACGAACGAAGACGAAAAAGTGGAAGAAGAAGAGAAAAAAAGAAGATGAATGAAGCCCGCTTCACGCGATTTTACGGTAACTCAATGTAGAGGGATTCGGTTGGACCAAGTCCCAGGTAACGTCAACGAAATATATATTCTATATAATATATATAATATATGTATCTCGCCGCAATCTCTTAGTATTATGCGCTCGCGTTAAAATGTATAATTAAAATGATCGTTTCGTTGAAACACACCCGCTCTTCCATTCACTCGTCTTTCATTCTCACGCACGCGTTTTTCGTTTCTCTAACAAAATATATTAGCTTTTTTTTTGTTATGTACATTATATATCTCGAATATAATAAAATTATAATAATAGAGCTATAATACAAGGTCGTGTGAATAACAGTGTGTGTTTCTTTTTTTTCTGGATGGTCTCGTTACTTCTTCACCCTGTCGAGAAAAATAAAGAAATACAAACGCACGAATCGAGATGGGGTGGCATCGACGTCGCGGTCGTTAGTCGTCGCATCGATATCGATACTGATCGCAATTACGCTATCTCGACGTGTCTTATCGCCCAGAGATTCCCAAAGTCTGGGTCGCGTTAAATTACCGTTTTCGAAAGCGGGGCTCTGGAATTTTCAGACCTCTTTACCGTTACTTCACTTTTCAAATGGAATTTTCAAATTTTCGGAAATTACGAAGTTACGAATTCTGAAACACAAGCAAATCGACGGAACGTCTTTCTTATCTGCTTTCTTTGGCTCTCCATTTTTCTTCGTATTTCTTGCGACTACCTTTTATGTACAATATCTAGTTATATCTCGCAGGAATAGCTAGAAAATTTAACGGAGAATTAAAGCGAGCAAACAACAAAGACATCTTTCGTTATGGAGACCTAAAAATTTCGAAAATCCCAAAAAGATACGTTGATCGCGAAAAATTAGCGAATCTTGGCCCACAAGATTGGGAAGCCCCGTTTTAGGTACATCGTAACGAAGAAAGATAATCTAATTTAGTCGGTCCGTAATCAAAGAACGATTAGAACGCAGCGCGTCTGCACGTGCTGCATCGCGCATATCGCATCGTCATTGTACGGTGTGCGTGTCTGTGTGCGTACGATACGCGTGATCCCTTTGTGTGCGTGTTTTTCCTCGGCACATGTATACGATCATGGAAGGTGCATCGAAAATGTATAATGTCGAAGATTTATGCGAATGAAATTATTTATGCGAGCGTCGTACTCGCGCGTCCCTGTCTTGGTACGTATACATGTGTCTCTGTGTCGACGCGTCGCGAACGCGCTAGTATGCGAGAGCGCGATTAACGCGCTCGTCCACATCGATGCGTGATTTGTTCGGAGTTACGACGTGTTCGCGTATTACGCGATCGAACGAGGCGGCGAACCCGCGGAACCACGCGGTACCACCACCCAGTCTTTACGTACTTTTTCAGAAAAATAAAAGTAGATGCGAAAGAAAGAAGGGAAAGAAGGAAAATTCTGTTCCCTTTTTTCTTTTATCCGCGTTATATCCTAAAGAAGAAAGTGTCCGATGCACTCGGTGTAAAAAAGAACAAGTCCGCCATGAGCAAAGGGCACTTTTCCACACGAAGTCGTCGACCAAGTTCCAGCTGCCGAAGAAGCTTCCTGCACGCCTGTTCGCGTTCTCCCGCCTTTTCTTCTCCGTCACTCCTCGAACTCTTCGAACTCCGCGGGCTCGGTGCGGCGCGGCGAGCGAACGACGCACGTGCGCCTCGCGTTCTTCGCACGCGGATCGAAACAAAGACGCAGTTGCGAGCGGAACTCCTCGAGTTCCATGTTGGTTCCGTTTCCGGTCGGACGAGACTCGTCGAGAGGATGACCCAGGAGCATCGGGCACCGACGACGACTCTCTCTCACAATCGTATCGGCCTGAAAGGCGAGGAACGAAGGTCGACGTCGTCGGACGAGAGAAAGGCGTAACGGACGCTCGACGATGACGTCGTTGTACGCTACATGGGTCCCACCGCGTGTTGCTGGAACTGGTCGAGGTGCCTCGAGATTTCCCGGTGCAGCTGTTCGGGCACCACGCCGACGCTGCTGAACAGCGATCTGAGCACGTTCAGCTCCTCCGTCAGCAGCTCGATCCTCTTTTTCAGCAGGTCGTTGTCCTTCACCAGAAGCTTCACCTTTTCCTCGGTTTCCCTCGACCGCACCTTCGCCTTTTCGCGGCTCTTCCTCACCGCTATGTTGTTCCTCTCGCGTCGTCTTCTGTACTCGTCGCTGGCTTTGTCGATGGCCTTGGTCTGCTTCCTGGCAGCGGCCGCGGCGGTTAGCCCCGCTGTGCACCGGCTGAGGCATGTACGCGAGGGTGGTGCGCGGGTATCCCGGCGTTCTGACATGCTTCACCGCTCCGTTGTTCGCGCCCAGCATGTCCAGCAGGCCGTCGTTGAAGTGGCTGTCGTCGATCAGATGCTGCAGATCCAGCGATATCTCCGGCGTGTTTAGGTCCGTTAGCTCACCGGCCGCGGCGCAATGTTCCGCGTACTGCTGGTGAAGGCTAGCCTTGCTCGCCGAGACCTTGCTCACCACCGCGCTGCCCTGCTGCTGGCTGTGATTGTGATTCACCTGCAGCGCCGAGTTGTTATTGTTGTTCGCCGCGTTGTTGTTATTGTTGTTGTTGCTCTGATGGTTGTTGTTGTTGTTGTTGAGCACCTGGGACTTCTTGAGATCGGCCGCGCCGTGGGCCTGGGCCTGATGGGCCGCTGAGTCGTACATGACTGGTGAATCCATCGCTCACTCGCACATCACAGATACGATGATATCTTTCCGCGATTCCGTTATCACCTCTACCGATTCCGTGAATCGACTGTTTTTATTGTCGTTCGTCTCGAGTCTCCGACGAACACGCTAGCACGTTGTCCGAGACGGCCAAACACGTTCCGCTGAAACTTTACCGCGAGAACGACCTCGACGAGGATTTTCCCGTACGGTCGGCCCGAGATCTGACACTGGTCCAAGTATCGAAACGCGACCCTCGACTATTCCGATTTTCGAGGACGACTAACGCGAGCACCGCGCTATCGTACTCCGTTATCGGCGACTCGCACGATTTTCGCTCGCTCGAAACCGCGTGGTCCGTTCACGGTGACGCGTTCACCACGCCTACGCGGGCTTTTTCGTGATCGTACGGTACACCACGGGGAATGCTCGGCAAACGATACGACGATACCATCCGCACGAGAGCTGGCGCACGACTGAGCGGCTTCGCGGCATGTCGCAAGCTTTCAATGTGGCGTGCGTCGAGAGCAACTCCATGCCTCATTGCGCTTGCGCTCGCGCTTCTCTCGGCCAGTCCCCCTCGTTCCGCGCCTCGCGCAAAGCGCCGCGTTGGGGCCCGCGATCAGCGCGGATACCGCGCCCTCCCGCCACCCAGAACCGTCAGCTCCTTCTTTCTCTTTCCCTCTCCTTTCTATCTTCCCTTCCTCCCTCGCTCTTTCTCTCTCTCTCTCTCCCTCTCGAGGCATTCTTTGTTCGTCTTACGGACTGACACGATGTCGTCCCGTCGCGGCATCGCGCGACAGGAAAACTTTTCCGGTGCTCGCCTTTCTCGGTTCTATTTATAAGAACTTATACGCGAATGCCGTCTTTTCGATGCGTGCATGGGTTTTCCACGGAAATCGAAAGATTTCCCGCCCCGATTTTGTTCGGATCTTGCCCGACTTGTCGCGAGGATGACGGCCAACCGCGCTGGACGCACGATTTCTTCGCTAGGATAGCGAACCGACGATTATCGTTAACCGTCATCGTTGGCCACTCGATCGGAACCGATTTCTATGAAATGGCGGGTAACTTTGATTTGTCGGTTAGCGCATGCTGATACATGTCCAATTGCTTGCGTGAGATTGCGCAATTAGCGGTAACGCAAAGTGAGAGATGATATTATCGCTAATGGACGCGAGATTCTTATTCAGAAATACGGTTGACGAACTATGCGCTCGCTTATTTTTGTCTGTGTGCGAAAACAGACATTTCCGAAGCGACGACAAAACGCTGAAAGGTCGTCGTAAAAGTTAAGATACGAACAAAAATAGTGAAACTATATATTTCATTCGACTCTTCCAGGAAATTTGGAAGTTCATCATATCAAATGATTCATTTATACTCTTTCCTGTATAAATTCTTAGTACAACTCCCTGAGAAAATTTTACTCTGTCGTTTTCCATAAAATATCGAAGTCACGAGTTTGCAGCGAAAATAGTTAAGTGCTTTAAATTAAGAGCGACTATTTAACGAACGAGTTAAATAGTCACGCTGTCGTAGAAGCTTCTATCTTTGCACGGTACTTCAATTTAATACATTTTGTGCGCCGCAATGACGTCGATACACAATTTTGGATTGACATTTGGTGCTGCGAGAATTTCGAATGTTCCTCCGGTACGGTAACTTGCGGCGGCATCTCGCGCCGCGTACTAAAGTACGCTGTTGACCGTCGGTACAGAATTTCTTAACCGATCCACGACGGAAAGGTCCGAATCTGACCGAATTTCTTCGCCGTGATATTAGCCACAACAAAAAATTGGTAACATTCGTGTAAAAACTTTTCGGCAATATATATTTTCCGCGTTCATTTCGTGATTTACTGTTCTCTGGACGATTCAGCGATCGACTGGCCCAAGGTGAGCGAGAAATTTCGTTAGGTTATTTTCCTGGCGCGTTTCGTGTTGCTGGGCCGTTTTGGGCCTGTGAGTACCCTTTGACGGAACGGTCCGTCGGATGTACGCGTATTGTTATGATAAAATGCGAGTAACACGTCATGCAAAGCGTTTTCAAGTTCTAGAGTAGGACGAATTTATGTTTCAATTCGATTCCGTAGTTTTTTATTTTCCCGTTTAGTTTAACGAGTGTTTTCGAACGCATCGAATGCCAGCCGTGGAATGTTTTCCGATTTAACCTAGACGAAATCTGGTACACAGAATTCCGCGTGATATAGGATCATTCTGTTGTGAATTTGGAAACATTCTTCAATTTTACGATAAGCTAACGTCGATGTAATTATTTTGCGTCTTCTACGAGGAAATTTTGCACGACGCTAGTACGTGTTTTTGCGCCTAATTTGACCGTTATATTCTTCAGTTTTTTATTTTTTATAACGATGTTTATGTAACGTTATTGTCTGTATTTTTTATTATTTAAAGTATGAAATGTTATCAGAACTTTTTCTTTCAGCTTTCAAATTCTAGCAAGAGCATTAGGACATCGAGCATCAATAATGGCAGATGAACAGCAACAGTTTTTTCTTAAATGGAATGATTTCCAATCTAATATGGTATCGTCGTTTAAGCACCTACGAGATGAGAAAAGCTTCACGGACGTGACATTAGCTTGCGACGGTCAAACTTGTAAAGCGCATAAGATGGTGTTATCTGCTTGTAGTCCATATTTTAAGTCTTTATTAGAGGTACGTCACAAATGGTAATTGGTACACTACAGATCTTCATATAAACTGACTTTGATAACAACTGGTTTATTGTGTGGTGGCTGCAGGAAAATCCGTCCAAACATCCCATTATAATTCTAAAAGACGTCGCGTACAGTCATCTTCAGGCCATTTTGGAGTTCATGTACGCGGGAGAAGTTAACGTTTCGCAAGATCAGTTGCCTGCATTTCTTAAAACCGCTGATCGGCTCAAAGTTAAAGGATTGGCAGAAGCACCGGGTGCCATTAAGAGAGAGGGTTAAAAGTTTGACTATAGTTATGGTAAGATTAAGTAACGTATTTCTCTGTTAGAAACCTTTCATTGTCTGATGGCAAAAATTAATACGACATTCGGATGAAATTCTCAAACGGGAAACGTATATTTCCTCTTACAGGATTTTGGGAAGTGTGCGGACTGATAAAAAAAGAAAAGTGTAATAATGTAAAGTGATTGCATAAAGACATATACCACACACTATAAAAAAAACACACGCTACGTGTGCACAACTCAGTGTCCTCTGGTTCATGACTTGGATCAACACACACAGCGACAATGTAAATTATGCCTTTTTCTTAATCTCAGTTAATGTTAATGTTGTATTGAATGTATGTATACAAATACGGTAGAGATGAAAATGTTGATGTTTGTCTTGAACCCATTGCGCCATAATGTGGTAGCGACAACATTGATTATTTTTTTAAAACAAAGTGCTGCAAAAGTAATAAGTGGGTCACGATAGTTTACAATATGCAAGACAGTTTTGTGAATCATAACGGAAACGCTAAAAGACATCTTTTACAACTACTGTTTTTTAAAATGAATCTACTGACTCACTATACTTTCCTATCGGCGAGTGGTAGATCCGTTCACGCGGTATTCAAATTTCTTCCGCTACCTGAGTGAAACCTTTATCATTTCTTTTATAGCAAACGTAGGTGGTATAGCATCAGTCTGTTTTATCGCAACTTTTGCAAGGAGCATACACATTTTCTGGTATCGACTCGCAAGAAATTTCAATCGTATCGTGAACGAATCTATGCCACCCCGATTATCCCTTTGAATAATGTTAAATCAAGTTTACTGGAAGTTGTAACATGCGTGTCGTACATTGTTCTCTTTCGTTACGAGTACTGTTATCTTTTAGATCATCGAAAGTACGAGAACGGTGTTCATGTAATAGATCGAGGAGGGAAACAAAATCGGGACGGTCATAGTTATTTGAAAATGACTCTATTATGTTTTTAAAGAAGTTGAAAAGCAATCGCGTGTAACGTACGCGGAGCGATGAATCGTGTCGTTTCTCAACACCGAACATTTTTAATCGGAACGAAAACTGTTGATTCGTACATCGCAGATCCATTCGGTGCCAGTTACCTCTTCTAGTGATCATGATTTTTTACTTAACCAAATACTGCCAGTATTTGTACCGGCGTATTCACAATATTACCGATAGACCAAATTTATTTATGATAATAATATATTAAGGGTTGAATGTCTTAAGTCGAGGGAAGGTTATTGTAATATAAGCGATGCAAATTTTTGTAAAGTCGGAGCGCACAGTTCCTTTCCCCTCCCGATGAATCAGGATAATCAGAGAGTTTTAAAGAAAAAAAGTAAGGAAACATTATCGAGTCAAGAATACATGCGTCGACGTGTATCGCACACAAATTGATCATTTTCCTTTTTACTTTTAAACGCTTTCGCTATTCTCATCTCGAAGTGTATTTTGTTTCTTACGAACTCGCGGATTATACCTTCCGATTTGTTTTTCTTTCTCGCTTTTGAATATATTCAGTTCCTGGTTCTATTGGTTTTATTTTTTTCTTCCTTATATCGAAATTATACGTTCGTACACGAAAAAGAATTAAGCATATCATTTCGTTCGATGGTTTCTAACCTCGTATTTAAAATAAACACGAGTACTACGACACCGAATGCCAGTTCAGGATTATCCGTTTGTTGTCTCCGATATACTAGAAACGCTGGGAAAACAAATCGATGTAAATCAATCGTCGTACCGTATTTATTTAACTCAAACGTCGGATGTTCTCACGAATATTGCGTTCAATGTATATAATTGATCGAGCGTAACTTTGCTTTTGTATAACGTTTAACAAACAACGTTTGTTGCATCTAAAAACGATAAATATACGAAATGGGACCAGTTGTAACAAACGTTATGGTTTAAAGATACAATTGAAATTGACTTTTTATTCGGTCTTCGCTAACATTTTGACGGCCGCATATTTCTTTTTTATATTTAATAACGGAAGATTATTTGTAGAATCGTATTTGAGAGCTTCCATATTTCACCGCTCGATAATTGCCCGCCATAGAATTATAGGAAAGTTTCGAAAAATTCAGCTGCGGAGCCCCAAAAGCGGGCAACTATCGAGCCTCCACTAATAAGAGAAACAATAGTAAAAGCGTATATTGTTATCGATTTTGACAAATTTATTCTCGCGAAAGAAATAGAATAGTCGAAGGTGTATCTTGCACAGACATCCGACAAATTGCATAGAAAAAAAGAAAAGCAAAGATCCGTGTTCGTTGACAGTATTTAAGTCAGCCTTTAACATTTAAGATGGTTGCTTTCAGTTCCTACAATGACACGTTCATCGGGCATTTGGTGGTTGAAACGCAAATCGTACCGTGTGTGTTTGCTAAAGCGTCAAGTTCACCTAATATACACCTAGAATAGAAAATGTTTATATACGAGCGATGGATTCGAGATAAGTTCGTTGATAAGCTTTCCTCGCGTTTTCTCTCGATTACGTTGAATAGATGCGTACATACACGTTTTTCGATAATTTTGCTTTCTTTTACTCTCTTTTTTTGTATCTGCACTTTTGAGAACGACCGATTTGCGATCTATTGGTTGCCGAATTGTTACCGACGAATCTCTCATTCCTTTTATACTCCTACTTTCATGATATTCTACTCTTGTTCTCAATTTTCACGACGGTGTTACCCTTTCTATACTTTTTTCTTTCTTTGCTAATTATAATATGACTCGATGATGATTATGATTACAATATGACGATGTTGAAATATGAAATAAATTGTGTAAATATATATCATTTTAGTAAAACCGTTGCTTCTCCCTTACTTCTTCTTCTAACTTCAGCTGGAATTTTTCTTATAAAACATTTATTAACTTCAAAATACAAGCGTATTATACACACAATTAAAATACGTATTTGTAATAAAATGTGGTTCTTAAACGTTTCTGAAAAGTAATACTTTCGATTAAAAGTCTTACAATTCACTCGATTCGTATAAGTAAACTTACCGGTAGATACATCACACAATTTGATCCACGCCGAGTCTTTGTCCGTTGATTCATTAATCAACGTCGCCGAATACAGAAGAAATACAATTAATACATCCAGTTTTCCAGAATAATAATTCTTAACAAATTACGAACCAAGGGTCGCAATCCTAATCATTTGAAGGCTCGCAATCATGATGAGTCGAAAGCTTGTAACCATAATGAGTCGAAGGCTCGTAACCATGATGAGTTGAAGGCCCGTGATCATGATGAGTTGAAGGCTCAAAAGTATGCGTTTTAACGTGACCATCAGGTGAAGCATAGAGTTCACTGGTGGTTACTAATGCACTTAGTAATTCCGTTGCCACTGGTAGCGGCAATTGCTCACCCGCCACCGTCAATGGAAATGACAATGATAGATGCTCTGTCATTTGGTTTATGTCTGTTGTTCCGATTAAGATTGGATAACTCTTGTCGATACAGAAGTGCCTAATTTAACAAACAACGTAATTCACGATGGAGTAATAATGATAAGGCTTAAGATGTAGTAATTTAAAGCATAGTTTCATCGAAGTCTAAATTATTTTTGCTGCTCTTAGAAAAATAATAAAGCTTATCAATTTCTTGGGTAGTAACCATTAGTTCCAATAGCAATGAAGATACGCATTACTTAGATACTTTGTATTATTGCTAGTGCCTTGATGTATTAGGTTGGGGAATAAGTTCGTAGCGTTTTGACATTTTCTTTTTTTTACAGCGACATTTTGCAATTTGCAAGGGGTTATAATATTCATTCGATAGAGCTCTTTCTACTCTACAAAACTGCGTTAATCGCTTTTTCAGTAGTTTCATTCGTTATTACTATTGAGGCTCAGAAATGGAATATCCAGGAGGTAAAAATTAGCACTTTTATGCTCTTCTTCGCTTTCTATCGCGGCCAAAAAGCTGCTGAAACAGCCCGGGATATTTGCAATGTATACGGAGAAGGTGTCATAGGTGAGTCGACAGCACGGAAATGGTTTGCAAAATTCAAAAATGGCGATTTTAACGTCGAAAACCCGCCCCGCAGCGGAAGAGTTCGACGAAGAGCGTCTCCGAGCACTTGTGAAGCAGGATGGTCTTCAAACTAGTCGTGAATTGGTCGAAAAAATGAACTGTGACCACAAAACTATTCTCAATCATCTCCATTCAATGGGATTTGTCGAAAAATTGGGAGCCTGGGTGCATCACGAAGTGAACGCTACGAACTTATTGCCCAACCTAATATATCCTTAAAAAAATAATTCCGGTACCGTTTTTTATCCTTAATATCGGTACTTATCCTTAAATTAAGGTTTATATAAAGTTTGTGCCCATATAAGGTTTATTTTCAATGGTTTACTCACGACCCCGTAACGTTAATGGTGAGCTCCAACTCGTATTTCACGTCTATGATATTGCAGTGTTGCATATAAGATGGTGGTGTGGGTGATATTAAAAGATCTAGAACAACCTGTCCTTTCTTATGAAAGGGTGGGTAAAGTTTAGTCGATTTGACTACGTACTCCATCTTTTTGACCTTGCGCAGTGGAAATTGTGCATGGTATTTGACTTTCTTCGAACAAAACGAAAATGAGAAGGTTGAAAGATATGATCTGACGTGTCTTATATTCTATTTGCATGTTACAAGTTCGACTTACTTGTTTGAGTTGCGCCCTGACCTTTGTCATTTCTACACTTCTCGAGCCGTTTTCGTAGTTTATCGTCGTATATATCGTTTGTCCTGGAATGTACCCTGTAGTTGGTACTTTGATTTCAAGATTCAACGCACCCTGGTGGCAGCAGCAGCAGAAGCCATAGAAATTCACCTGATCGTCCTCGTCGATGGGTACCTATTCAAATTTCATGTCCTCTGCAGAAATATTTTATACGTGATAATTTTCAGATCCAACACTCGGTACTCACGCACTGCTCATCGTAGTCGGTCAAAGCCAGCGGAGAGACAACGGTAAACGTACTCTCGTGTACATGATTGAACTTCCATGGTCTGTCGATTACCACTTTCATCGTGTACGCGACGCTACCGATCGTATCCTTAAAAGTGCTGGGTATGTTTTTGGGCAATGGATAGCTGAATCGATATTCGTGATATCCTTCTTTTATTTCTGTTCGTGAATTAACTAAAAAATTAACTTCTGTTACATCTCCCTGTTTTGTTTTTTGAGAAAAGTTCAGGTGTACTCACATGTCTGGGTACCTAAGATGTCGAAATTTAGGTTCAAATACGTCTCCGAGTTGGTGTGTATAGGGATAAGTTCTCGTTTGTCCCTATTTACCCAGTGAACACGGCCTTCGCCTTTTACTTCTACGTGCATTCCTATAATATTTTTAAATTAATTATTTTTCTATCATGCATCGCGTGATTATTTCAATAAAAGACCGACAGTATCGATTTACGATATAAATCGCTTGGAGCGAATGACACTTTAAATAATGGAACATTTATGGCGCCAATTGTTTAAAAAGTTTTCCAATCGACCTTGAAACATTTTTTTTTTATAAAAAACGACTAGTCACTTGTTGACACTTACCTCTGACAACTTTTGGATGGTCAATACCTAGTGCAATTTTTCCCGTGACCGTCTCCCCGGTTGCGTACGTAGCAGACGCACGATCGAATATCACTTGAAAGATTTGCAACGGCATTTTGTGCTTGCACCGTGAAACTGACCCGCTTGTCGAGCTTGTTTTCGAATATAATGAAGAGGCGATGTTGATTCGGCGAAAAATGGAGTAGGAGTTTTAGTGACGTAATATGGTGTGGGACTGAAAGTAACTACGCAGTTTTGTATGACATCACCACATTTCTTTTGCGAGTTCTCTCAGACACCATGGCGGCGACGCAAATCGAAATACCCGACCTTCCAAGGTCGTGCGATGGAAGATCGTCTAGGAAAGCACAGAGTCGCAATTTTGCATTGCGAATTTTTCAAATCAAAATGAGAGTATTACAAGTATTTATAAAAGGAGCACGAGGAGATATAGCGTCGGACTAAAAATATACGAGCAAAGTCGCGTGTTTGTCCATCAACGATGTCTTTGTCTCTCCTGCATGAGCCGTCTGCAATTTCTCCGCACCAGACTCTCCAGGAAGAGGATAGCCGGCATCGAAAAATTAAAGCAGGCTATTTGATACACGATGTGCAATCTGCTATAATTGTCGCCACGACCTCGAAGTTCTATTTGTTAATTCATGAATTAGTCATGGATCGTCTGGATGAGAAGATACGTATTGTATGAACGCACCTATGTGTGCGTATTATCAAAATACCAGTCTGTTTACGTTCCAGGAAAGATGTGCTTTTTCCTCGTTCGCCTGGATCTTTTATAGACATGCACGATATCGACATGTCTTAATTTAAAAAAAAAACATATTTATGAGTTAGTATTTTGAATTTTATATGCAAAATTGGAAGAGTCACGTGACATTTCGTCTGGAAATTCTTTATTGTTCAAGAAAGGTAAATAAAAGAATTTTGTGCAATCCATAAGATTACACAATGTCATTTTTTATTGTCACAATTTTATTCTCTTCTAATCGTACGAAAAGAGATATATTTAACAACTTTGTAAATTGAATGATTTAATTTAATACATTTGTGTTAATAAAAATAAAGTTCTATCAAAATAGTATCATTCGTATAAATGCTAGAAGCAGTAATCCAACGCGCATAATTGCCATGAGTGGTACCACGATGTATATAAATGTAATAATTGGATATAAAACCCATTCTACTTGGAGATCAGGCACTTCACTGTGTTGTGGTGACGTAACAGACGATGCAACGGGTGGCAATGCAAATCCGATATCGCTGGACCTCCGTGTCAAGCAATGGTCACCTGCATACAAACCATTACACTATTAATCAATTTTTTAATTTATTTCGTACTGTTTTGAAATTATAAACCTGGAAGTTGATACTTTGTCACTGGCAAGGTATCGTTAGACCTATCCGCATTAAGTGGGGTGGTTTCACTCGTAGGCGATGGACTGCCAGGTGGAGCAGTTGGAAATACTCCATCAGGTGCGGTGGTAGCTGAATCATATGGCATTGGTATCGGTGTCGAATTTTCTTGGTTAACGATTAACGGTTTTGTTCCGATCACTATAGGATACTTCTTGCGAATGTTACATCTCCTAATTTTACGGATAAATAATCGCAATTTATTATCTGTTCGAAGTCAACCGCAGTCATATAGCAAATATCTTTTTGGAGGAGATACACTTCGAAGCCTCCAGCAGTGGTAAATCAGCACCTCGATTTATTTTTGATTATCGAATTTAGACTACTTACAGGTCTGACAGATGAATGGTGATGGCCAATATGTATTCCACGCTTATGGTCTTGCAGTGCTGCAAGTATGACGGTGGTAAATCTGGCACCATAAGTTGCAGAATGCTTTGTCCGCATTTAGGTAAACGTCCCATGACTAGAGTCGATTTGACTTTCGAAGTATCAACTGCTCTTCTGTTGCCTAGCAAGCTTATATAGAATGTGACCTCCTGTGAAAAAACACAAAAAGAACGAATTGAAGAAAGCATCTCTGCTTATTTAGTAATCACGAGACTTGTCTCGATGTATATTGTAATATTACAATTGCAAGAAACCTTACTCGTAGCAGTTTTGCTGTGATCTTCTCGATGAATGTTTCTTTCGATTTATTATCATGGTCAACTGTTATGAAAATCGATTGTCCTGGAGTGAACCCGGACAGAGGTACTCTGATACGCAGAGTCAGCTCTCTCGGTTTAAAGAAACAGGCGTCGCGCAGTGTATGGATTATTTCTTCGTCGATTGGTGACTGTAACAAAGTATGATCATTTGAACATTTGCATTAACAATTGAAAAACTCAAAATTCAGAGTCTTCCTTAGGCTAAGGAGTTTCTCTCTAGATATTACTTATCCTTAGCCAAAGGGAGTGAATACAATTTACTCACGCATTTTTCTCGGTACTCGTTCAAATCCAAAGGAGAAACGACATTGAACGTACACTCGGTCTCCTGATCGGGTTCACACGGTATATTTATTACAGCTTTCGCCGTGTACCTTATGTATCCACGTTTATGCTCGATGCTGCTGGGTATGCAGGTGGGTAGTGTGAAATCGAAGGGATACTCATAATACCCCGCACACAGTGTCAGTTGCGTGTCGGCTAAAAAATTGACACTTGTTACATCGTGGATTATTCATTTATTCTTAATTTAGCACATTTAAGTTATGAATTAACTTTATTGTATTATTTTTACGATGCGATTACCTTAGGATAAAATTTGCAATTAGTGTTTGCTACTTACATTCTTTGGGAACTATGATCTCATACTTTTCGCTCAGATGGTTCTCCGAATTGAACCCCGGATTTCTCGTTCGCTGCCTTGAGCCGAAAGTCTGGCACCAACCCTCCACGTACAAATACAATCCTATAATTTGTTAGACACGAATAAATTAATCATTTCAATTATACGTGTTTTAATCATTGAATATTGAAGATTGAATCTTGAAAAGCGTTGTTGTTCTGGCAAGTGTTTACGACGCATTTCGAGCACCCGGCACATGGTCGACAAACACACGTTGATTCTTTTCCTTGTATGCAAAATCAACGATGAAAGCAGACCGAAAACAAGAAACAGGAAACGTTTCTTTTGGATACAAAGTGTTCAGTTGTGGAATGTTTTATCAAAGATGAATGTACATCTACCATTCAGATATTCGATCAATTCAAATGACTCTAATATTCGAAAAAATTCCGGGAAATTTAAATATTCGTCTCATGCGAATTCCGGGAGATTTGAATATTCAAAAGTTTCAACTCTAAATTGTTGACTCGTGTGTGAATCGTTCACTCGGAGATTTAGAACTTTAATTAGTAATTGTTTAATTAAATCAGTCAGTAATTAAGTAAATTCCGAATTACTATAAACTGGAACTTTGAAAATGTTCAGACTTCAATAACTTTCAGAACATAACTCACGTGTTCCAAACACATTTTAAAACCATGACAGTACTCACCTGTAGTTACTATATCTTCAGTATTATTCAGTAATATTGTTCCGGTAACTTTTTCACCGGTTGTGTACGGTCTTTGTGGATGATCGAACTTAATGCGAAACATTTTCAGCGACATCGCGCGCTGCGACTGCACTCCCGGTCCTGGCGACGATACAGTCGTGAAAGTGGGGAGGATCCAAATAAGAAAAATGCGAATAGTTTTTTAAGACGAGTAGCTGGCGCCGTGAGTCCTCTCTTCCGAACTCCAGCTTATTTTAATACCATTGATCACTTGGAGCGCTGATGTCGTTTCTACGTGATTCATTCACCTTCTGCTGATTTCCCGCCATTTTGCGTGTGGTACTCTTGCGTAGTAACCTTGGGCATTGTCGCTGGACCTTCAAATGTTATCGTCCACGCACTTTGGCTACTGGCCAAAAGATAATCGATAGGTGTGTCGGCGCACCCTGTTTTTAACCCTTCTACGTTAAAACTAAATACGATTCATATACACGATTATTAGATTCAGTACACTGATGAAATGATCTATCGTCCTTTTGTAATTTAATTCTGTATTGTAATTTTAATGGAAGCGTGATATAACTTAGGGCATGAAGGAACTTGACGTTGGCACTGTCTGTCAAGGATCACGAGCAATTAATTGTGTCACTAAAGCAGGTCATTATCTATTGCAAATACTCGTGGAATCTATTGCATTGATTCATTAGTATGTCCTTAGATTTCATTGATATTGTATACATATTGTCCAGTGATGTACTTAATATGTATATATACATATTATCCAGTGATGTACTTAACCCGTTGACTGCCACGTCACACATATATGACACTTAAGTTTATAAATTGATGTAACATGTGTATTGTTAAAAATTTATTCATTTTCCGCATTGATTTCATGGATATATGGAAAATAAATGTAACAGGATATTGTGAAAATGGTTGGTGAAATTTATTAAAAATTAAAACATTACTGGATGCAATTTTCAATTGTTTCAGTGTGGCAGTCAATGTGTTAATATACATATCAATGTTTTTCATGCAATCGTTTCTTGTAATCATTTATAATATATTTCCTCTTCGTTAGATAACTTGTAATACCGAATAAACATTGACTTATCGCTGTTGCGTATTTTCAGCCTGCGAGCTACCTTTCGACCACTGTACAAGACATGCTGAAGAAAATACAGTAAGTCTTAGCAACCATGTGATTCCACTCTACAATTATGGTCGAGTTCCCACTTTCTCAGACATGTTTATGGGTTAATCTCTGCTAAATATGTGAACACCTTTCCATAATTGCAAAGTTGTCAAATCTTGTAAAAGGCACCCTACAAATTACCTCAGAATTTTAAATTTGTTACATGCACTTCTGCATACAAAATGTTAATTATTCGTCATTGTAATTTCCTTTTAGTCACTTCAACGAAGTGACCTTTGTTGACACCCTAATTTGGATTACTTTCTAGTTGGGACAGCTGTTTCCCATGAGTAAACTAAAATGTGTTGCTTGATAAGGCGAGACATGCTTCTGATATCGACTAATTCACGAATTAGTCATAGTTTGGGTGAATTTCCAGGGAGCGATAATGAGTGAGTTACAATCATTTAATGGAATTCTTAATTTTAACTTCTGTCTTCTATCATTTATTTACTACATTTATATTACTTCGTATGGCTGTAATAATTATGCTACGACGATTGCTGATGAAGGACATTGGATTTACCTTGAAATAAATGAATCTTAATTATAAACAATTCGTTTTATTGGTAATAAAAATGTTTACTTAAATATATATTTATATATCAATGTTTACTTAAATATATATCAATGTCTACTTAAATATATATAAATGTCTACTTAAATATATATAAATGTTTACTTAAATACATATAAATGTTTACTTAAATACATTTCCATAAATAGAAAGTATAAAGATGAGTACCAGGAAACTGTGTCCTAAAGAAATCTGGAGGTAGATTTTTAATTAACTTCAAGTTAATATATACTTGAAGCTTTCATTTTATTTATCGACCATGTATACCTGAAAAAAAAATAATTTCGTAAAGATCTGAACGCAGATGTTCTTGATTTATAAGACACGCAAATAAACTTACTGGGTGCTGGGTAATTGAACACAGGGTACCTAGGTGCGAAGGGATCGTTCGCACCGATAACGTAACTCGATTCGTCGGAGTCCTTAATGTTATCAGCCTTTGACACACATTCCTCGTAAGATGGAGGTGCTAGGTAAAGAAGCATCAGTGTAATTAACAATGAAATCACTTTCCGCGAATGTGACGCATGGACTCTTTCTCCAAAGATGGCGGGAGTGTGTAAAAGGGAAAGTGGTAATATGGGGATCTACGGTATCAGTAAATCGTTCTTATGAGTTGTTAAAATTGTTGGAAGTTTGTTTAGAATTATCAACAATTCGGAAGTGTGACTACTACATTCTTACTATACATGAATTGAACCATACTTACTATAATTGACTACTGAACTAAATTGTTTTGTTAGAATTTCTAGTTTCAATCACAAGAATTTATTCAAGTATGAAACTGTATGAAATAAGTATATGTCGGAGAACGAGTGATTCGATATAATTAACCCCAACTCTCCTGTCCACTTCTCTCTCTTTAATTATTTTCAGAACGTCAAAGAATTTCTGTTAACACTAAAACTACCAAGCCGGTCAAATGACCGCTCCACAAGTTTCTTATTAAAAGGTATACATTTTGTTGAAGTACATTTCTTGAAATCAGAATTGATTTTCATCAAGATAAAGAATAAATGTGTGTACTAATTTATGTTTCATCGTTTGTTTATCTAATTTTTAACTTCATTTTTAATTTCAAATTAAGTACGCATTGTATGCCGGTAGGTTTAGTGTTAAAGTAAACCCTACACACTTGAGAGATAAACCTCGAATGACCGCCGTCCCGTTCTCCCGTCTTATCGCGTATAATCCGGCATGAATGAATTTACCCCCTGTTGTTATTCTCGGTCCGCGCCTTCGGTCCGCAACCCTCGCTCCGTCTCCGACATATACGAAATAAATAATATTAGGTTTCTTACGTATATTCCAGTTGTTAGAAGTGCTAGGTTCGGCCGGAGGAACAAAACCGATAGGGTGATCAGTACTCGAAGAAGAAGCTCTTGCTTTTTGATCATCAAGAGGAGCTGAGGGCCTAAGTGTTGGCATTGGCATTGCTGAGGGTCCTTGTTCGATGTATAATGGCGTGGTTCCAATCAATATAACGTAGTCTTTCACGATCTTCTGATGCCTAGATGGACCGACGGAATTAATAGATTGTTGCAGTAACTGTATGATCTTATAAGAGATTTGAGGCTTTCACGGCCCGGCGTCATACAGGTATTACTGTTGAGGCTTTCGGGTGTAAGCCGTGTCCTAAAGCAAGCGAGTTCCCAACGTTTCGCCAGCATTGCAGCTAGCTTCATCAGGGGTTACACTGATACCAGTATCAGTAATACCTGTATGTATGATCTTATGGAGGAAAACTTATCGAGTTTTAAGTTAATCTTGTCGAGTAAATTACTACTGCAAGTTTTCTACCCTAAAATTCTTAGATTTCTAAATTTCGGTATCTTCAAATTTTTAGATCCTCATACTAGATACCTAACTTTCCCCCAAATGCCATAATCTCTAAATTCCTGTCCACTTCTCAACCTCTTCCCAAATTTTCAAACCTCGAAACCCAAAAAGAAACAATTTCTCATCTACCTCGATTTCATAACTTCCTCCAATATTACCGCTTATCTCCTAATTCAAAGAACGATAACATTCACTTACAAGCCAGAAACGTGAACAACGACGGCCAAGGTGTACTTCAAGTCTATAATATTACAAAACTGCAAATTGGACGGAGGTATAGGTGGTACCAAAATGTCCATCACCGCCTCTCCACGGTTAGTAAAGGGTCCCGAGTACGTTGTCGACTTAATTTCATTACTCTCACGCTTTACCTTCGAACTCGGCGAACTCGAGTAAAACGAGATTAACTGTAAAAATTGTTGATAATAATCTAGAGAATTTATACACGAATTAAAATAAATCAACGATACTATCTATGTTTACTTATGTGATTTTTATTATCGCTGCTTATCTCGCTGTTTGAGATTGCGTTTCGCTTACCCGCATGAGTTTCACGCAGATTTTTGTTATTTGAACACTGCTCGAGCAATTGTTATAGCTACACCATGTGTTTATCGTTTGCCCTGGAACGTACCCGGAAACTGGCAGTTGAACCTGCACGTCCATTGAACCGTTACTGCAGCAACAACAGCAGTTGTAGAACTCGTTGTGGATGTCGTCGTTGATTCCTAGCTGTTGGAGAGATATGAACTTTTTTAGGTATGGTTCTCTCTGTTTTGGGGGATCGAGAAGGAGGTACAATTCAGGAGAAGAGGGAGAATTCAGGAGGAGGTACATTTGAAGGAGGAAAAATTCAGAAGGAAATATGGAGTATTTCAGACTGGGACCTTTGCAATTTACAAATTGCGGAGTTTCGGAAGTTAGGAACTTTATGGGACTTTGGAATATAAGGATTCAGAAATGTTTAAAGTCTAATATTTTAACAACTCAAGGTGTTTTTGGAATTTTGGAGCCCTCAAATTTAGAATTTAGGAATTCTGTATCTGTGGAACTTTGGTCACGATTTAAAATCTTAAAAAGCTTGAAACCTTGAACTTATAGAATTTGTGAACTGAATTCCAAACTTCGAGATCTTGAAATTTTAGAATTTCAAAGCAGTAAAATATTCCTTACGCATTGCGCTCGACAGTCGTTCAGATCCAGCGTCGCAACAACAGTGAAAGCACGCTTGGTCTCATGATCAAACTTCCACGGCCTGTCGATCACAGCCTTCACGGTGTACCTTACATGCCCATACTGATGCTCAAAACTACTGGGTATATTGTACGGCAGTTCGAATCTGAAGGGATATTCGTAGTAACCCGCAGCAATGATCGTTCGTGAGTCAGCTAAAAATTTTATCGAAAGTAGATTTGAATGAAACGGTCAGATAAGAGTATGCTTGTTATCGTGTAGCGAGAAAGAACAATTTTTATTTCATGTAGTCCTTACATCTCGAGGAGCCTACGATGCTGAATTCAAAGTTGAAATATTTTTCCGAATTGGTGTAGGTGTCGTGACGAGTAGTGTTGTGTCCTTTGGAGTCCCTTACGGTCCTTGATTCCGTCCAATGAACGCGGGATTCTCCTCTGACGGACAAGAGCAATCCTGTAATTTATTAAATTACTATACTATATTTTAACTTGGTTTGCTTTGTTCGCTGATCGTATCTTCCTGTTTGTATTATATAATGGTGACTGACAACGGTGTTAAAATATTACAAGTTTAAAGTACTTTAAGAGAATTTAAATTTATGGTAATAATATTCATGTGCATTCACATATTTTGTGATATTAGTTATCGCTGTCAATCTGGTGAAGCAGTAAATCTTTATCGAGTGCAGAACATAGTTATTTACGATACGGTACATTTGAAGCACTATGTCTGTGATAAATGCACACTGCTATCTACTGCTAACTATGATAAACACGCTGTCACAAAAAGCGAGTCGAGCATTGTCCGAATAGAACTAATTTTAGACACAATATAACTCCGCAAGGTTGAAACTCTCAAAGCGTTTCGAGTATTACGAGTGTTCGAACTTCATCACTGTTCCGCACGTTGTACACACCTCTGACCTTCTTTTCTTGACCAAGTTGCAGCACAATTTTTCCACTGACAGTTTCACCGGCAACGTACACGGCGTTCGGTTTGTCGAACATTATGAAAAACGTTTGCAACGACATGTTGCAGGAAGACTAACCGTTGAACTTCCTTGAGTGCAATAGTTGAAAGTGGGGAGATGCCGGAAAAGAATATTTATACTCTTTGCGCAACAGTTTAACACGCAACGCGCGAACCACGAATGATCGTCGATAAGACAGCGAAATATATTTCTATCGATCTGTGAATTAGTCACTCGCTGATATGGTGTGGGTGATATCGGTGGGTGTACATGCGTATCAGATACACAATGTTATCAGTTCAGCCAGTACGTTCATGGAAATATTTGCATCTTTCTGTGCACTGTTTTCTATGTATTAGAATCTTTCTTTAAAAAAAAAAAATGGGAGTAGACTCCCCTTTAAATATAATGGTACTTTGAATACATGTATTAAGACATTTTAGTTGATAATTAAAAAGGAACACTAGTATCGTATTTGTATTGAGTTGTAAAGAAAGTTTAGTAGAGAGCTTCGCTTTTATTGCTTAGAATAATTAAATTCGTTAGATAATTGTCTTTGGTTGTAATATGTTAAGTAATAGCATTAGTTTGTAATATAAATAGCATTGTTGTGTGACAGATTGAATATTGAAGGTTTGATTAATGTTTAATATTTGATTGAGATAAGGAATGTTAATAACATTTTGAAAAGATATGTATGTAAAAAATAATTTGTTACATGCGTGCATAAGTACATACTGTAGTAATTAAAAAAAAATTTGGAATATATTATCGCGTGAAAGTTATTAAAAATAATAAATTTCAATGTATATAATGTAACTAACAATTATTGCAAAATAAAAATAAAAAAAATATAGAAAGGATTTGCAATTTACGATTGTTCCTGAATATCACATATAATTATAATAATTAATAAGTTGACGCATTCAAGCGTAAAAGTTAATAAAAATTATAAATTTTAATGTATGCAACAATTATTAAAAAATAAAAAGAAAAAAGAAATGAGAAGAATTTTCAATTTACAAATATTCCTTGAATATCACCTAAAATTATAATAATTAACAAGTCGACGCATTCAAGCAGAAAAGTTAATAAAAATAATAAATTTTAATGTATGCAACAATTATTAAAAAATAAAAATAAAAAAGAAATGAAAAGGATTTTCAATTTACAAATATTCCTTGAATATTACCTAAAATTATAATAATTAACAAGTCGACGCATTCAAGCGCAAAAGTTAATAAAAATAATAGATTTTAAAGTATACAACAATAATGTAAGGAACAATTATTACAAACTAAAAAGGATTTGCATTTTACAATTATCCCTGAATATCACCTAAAACTATAATAATTAACAAATCGACGCATTCAAGCGTAAAAGTTAATAAAAATAATAAATATTAACAGCCATACCAAAAACCATAATGAAAAATTCTAAACAAATTAATGGCAGCAATTGTAAGCCAATAGGAGTAGCATACAGCCTCACTGATTGGTCCACGAAAAATTCTTCCTCTAATTGGTCGCCGTAAGTCACCTATCATAACACACCGTTCGTACTTGCCGAAGGTGAGCTGATCAGTCTTGTCGGATCTGTCAAGGAGTTCGGGTCAACCACGTCAACACTCACCGGTACGAGTCATGGATTTATTTAATCGATTGTTTGATCAACTCAGTGTTACCTAAAGTGCTAGTGCTTGTGCTTAGTGTGTTTTATCGTGATTTTTTTAATATGTGCGGGGGTGTATTAATGCATTTTATGGTGTAATTATACGTGTGTCAAAGTGATTGCTAATGTGTTACTACATGTGATAGTGCATGCTATTATGGATTACTTATGGTGTTTTATGGTGTGATTATTTAAGTGTTTTAGTGTATTTTTTTTTTAAATTTTAACTTGATTTATGGTGTGATTATACGGGTGTCATAGTGATTGCTAATGTGTTACTACATGTGATAGTGCATGCTATTATGGATTACTTATGGTGTTTTATGGTGTGATTATTTAAGTGTTTTAGTGTATTTTTATTTTTATTTTTTTTTTTTAAATTTTAACTTGATTTATGGTGTGATTATACGGGTGTCATAGTGATTGCTAATGTGTTACTACATGTGATAGTGCATGCTATTATGGATTACTTATGGTGTTTTATGATGCGATTATTTATGTGTTTTGGCATACTAGTACAAATGTTTTAGTGCATTTAATGGTGTTATCTATGTGTTTTGACATATTGCTTATACTGATTTAGTGCATTTAATGGTGTGGTTACCTATGTGTTTTGACATACTATTACAAATGTTTCAATGCATTAAATGGTGTGGTTACCTATGTGTTTTGACATACTGCTACAAATGTTTTAATGCATTTAATGGTGTGGTTACCTATGTGTTTTGACATACTATTACAAATGTTTCAATGCATTAAATGGTGTGGTTACCTACGTGTTTTAGTATACTTTCACAAGTGTTGCATGCTTTATAAACCAGTTACCTACACATTTTTTCAAACATTCCGAATTTTTTGGTGTAGTTGTTTGTGATTATTGCAATCTGTTTACACGTTACAAATTTGAAAATGCATGCTTGTACAAGTACAGTAGATACATTGAAAAATAACAAACACTATTCGAAATTCAAATTGATTAATCGTTGTGATTTTTGTGTGTTTAAAGGAGGCCTCTCTTGTGGACCTATGGTTCTACCTGCCTAACCCTCAGTCTACCAATCGAACCAATCAATCTTGAGCCAAGCTGCAATCAACAGCCAAGCTGCAATCCAAAGCCAAGCTGAAATCCAAAGCCAAGCTGAAATTCCGAGCCAAGCAGCAACCATGAACCAATTGCAAGGCGAATCAATCGCAGTGATGCAAGTCAGCGATCGGTGAGTCGCATGCTTTACGGTTCCTCCGGTTCCCATCATGTCGTAGGACGAATGGTCCGAAGCGACACGGGAACTGGTTGTATTTTATATTTTGCGAGCATAGTGACCACGACTGTACGATCGTGCAAAATTCGTACAAACTGTTTATTTCATTTATTAGCTCAGGTCAGGGTTTTCTTGTACATCGCGTTTTAACTTCTTTTCAATTTAAAATTGAAATTAGTACATAGAAGTCGGATGACCCTCCGATTTCACAGTAGTTGTCGAGTCATTTTTATATAATTATCGAGTCACTTTCAATTTTTACGTACGCGTGAAAATTTTTTAAATGAACATGTACAAGAAAGTATCGCGAGAAACAGATTTCGATATCAAAGTTATTTACGAATGTTTGAGTCATTTAGAAATATACTTTGATATCACAAATCTGTTAAAAATGAAACTACCGATACACTTAGATTTTTGCAAAGTGTTCTTCCAATTTCTATTTTGAAAGTTTTTTAAAGTTAGAGTCAATTTTTGCTGGAAGACACTTTATTAGCATGTTACTAATCATGTTTTTAGCTCAGGATTTTCAGCACACATGAAGAAAACTGGTAGGTCAAAATACA